CTTTCACCAGTCTCTGTGGCTGGCATCTTCAGAGGACTGGAGTAGGAACTCTGTCCAAGCTCTGTTGCTGTTTGTTGGATAGTTGAGTATTTATAGCTGTGGGAACAGCTTTTGTCTTTTTTCAGGAGATAGGGTGATCAGCATGTTTTTGTTATGAATCAATTTGTTCTTCCTTGGGTCACCACGAGCAATTCAAGGTTCATGGGTCATCATGATGGCCCACAAAGTTTGACAGCCCACAAAGCAAGACAAAATGCCATTTTTGGCGCTTCATCCCCATCTCTAGTGTCAACCTATTTCCACATACATTTCATGCTCTCTGATTGGCTGGGATTGCCCACTTGACTCATCCTGGAGGACCAGAGCTTACTCTCATAATTGATTTCATTTGGCATGTCCAGTGTCATTACCCAACTAAACTTGCCAGTCAGTATAAAGTTGTGACGAGGACTTGGATTTAGTTTGTTAAAAAAAAAAAAGAGTTACATCTAATTCACTCAGCACTAATGACATTAATGAATTTAGCAACACCAGTTTGTATTATTTAAGGATTATCAGTTTTCTCCTTAAAAAACAAACAAATAGTTTTTACATGTGGCTTTTTTCCCAACAGAAAGAAGGGCCAGGACTCACCCAGGTCCCACGTTGTGGCTGGAGCGGTGTCCCAGCCTTTCACACTCCTCTGCAAGGGAGCCTGGGAGTGCAACGTGGGCCATTCTGGCAGCCAAGGATTGTCTGGTGCATCTGGGGGTGGGATATGGTAGACACCCCTCCCCCCAGACAAAAAGGGCACTCCTGGGCCTGAGTCATGGCAGACCTCAACAGCATTCACCCTCCCCACCAACCCCATGTTTGGTAAAGTTTGAAAGATGTTGAGGTTTAATAAAGGTTACATTAGACAGGTATTTGTGATTGCATTTCTCATTTTCTGTCCATGTCACAGCTTTGTTAGCAGTTTAGGAGCACTGGGGATGTATCTGATGGTTGATAGAGGGTGCGTGAGGTCCTGCCCACTGCTATCACAGAACTTCATCCCTTTGGGGAGGGCAAGGGACAGGGCTGCTCCAAGCTGGGAGGGCAGGATCCTGGCCTTGCCCATTGGGTGGCAGAGAACCACAGAGTGGCATACACACGCATGATCTCTGAGGACCTACCACCCTGGTTCATTGCCCAGAAGGGTCTAGGAAGTTAATGGCAACATTGATGACGGCACTTGGGCCTCCCGATGGATACGGATCCGACTCCAGTACTTAGCCAGGGTAACTGCGGCTGTAATTCAGTTAATAAAGTTGTGGCCTTTTACTTCCAGTTTTGTGTGTGCAGTGTGTTTATTGTCTGGGGCAGAAAGAGATCTTACTAGTTTTTTCACTGGTTGTTCTATTTCAGAAAGTAGGAAGGATCATGTGATCCACAAGCTGTGTTAAAATATTCCTGAAGGCTTATCAAGAGTAGACACTATAAGAACTAAACAATGCATTTATTGTGCCTATAGCATTCAAACAATGGAGGAGGTAGGTGGTAAGATTTGATACATACTAAAGCCATTACTGTATATTTGCATTACACATCATTCAGTGAGTCATCAGAGTCTTTTATGGGATGCAACAAAAGCATGCATCATCAACAATTGTCCTTTTCTTCTAGAGAAACATTGGGTAATTATTTTATAAAGTTCGTGGTATCACACTTTATATAGACTATTCTATTTATGAGTGTCAGAGGTATGACTTGTGCCAATAAGATAATGTCCAACTGTATTTTCAGTTTTATTTTTAAACAAGCGTCCTGATGGTCATCACTGCTATTATTCATTATCAGAAAAATCTGATGTCATTCAAGCATGATAAAACAAAATTCCTCTATAAACTTTTCCTGCACATGATGAAGGGTGGCTTAGTTGTTTTCTGGATTTCTTTTGTATTTTAGCAGTAATATCACAGAAACACAGTATTAGAAGGAATCTCAAAGGTCACAAAGTGCAATTGCCTGTCAAAGTAGGAAACCCACTCCACAGAAAACAAACTTCATTGATCAAGCTCAGATTTAATTGATGTACCTATAAACAGGAAAAGGGATTTTAACTCAGATTTCCACCTAGCTAGTTCAGCACTATTTCCACTATGGCAAACAAAGATGAGAAATGGATTTTTGAAGGCTTTCACAGCTGGGATCCGATGGTTGTTGTAGGTTTTTCGGGCTGTTTGGCCGTGTTCCGAAGGTTTTTCTTCCTAACGTTTCACCAGTCTCTGTGGCTGGCATCTTCAGAGAACAAGAGTTAGAACTCTGTCTGTTTTCTGGTGTAGGATAGTTGAGTATTTGTAGCTGTGGAATCAGCTTTTGGTCCTTTTCAGGAGATTGGGTGATTATCGTGATCAGGGTGTTTTTTGTTATGGGTATATTGTGATGAGGGGTGGGAGATGGTCTGTCACTGTGATTGAACTCAACCATCTGAAGTGGGCCCTACTGGCAAATGGCTATTCCAAAAATGAAATCACAAGTGCCATCAAACTGAGAAAACAACACCAAACTAAAGAAGAAAAGCAGCCACAACAAATAAAGTATTTCTGCCATACATCAAAGGATTCACCGACTGCATGGGGAAACTTTTGGAAAAACCCAACCTACAAACAGTATCCGGGCCCACCACAAAAATACAACAAATGTTACAGTCAGCAAAGGACAAAAGGGGCCCCCTCACCACTGCAGGACTATACCAGATACCTTGTAGTTATGGCCAGGTATATATTGGGACCACAAAATGCAGCATCCACACCAGAATCAAAGAACATGAGAGACACTGCAGATTAAAACAACCGGGAAAATTGGCAATAGCTGAACATGCCCTGAAAGAAGCTGGGCATGAAATTCTATTTCAAAACACAGAAGTACTGGACAACAACAACAATCATTATGTTAGACTAAACAGGGAAGCCACTGAAATCCACTAACACCAGCAGAGCTTCAATAAAAAAGAGGAAAGTCTAAAACTCCACAAAGCCTGGCTCCCAGCAATGAAAAATACAGCCTGCAAAAGGTCAATGAACTCTACCCAGCCACAAGGACCGGTGATCACTGCACACAAAAGACTAGCTAATGACACCCATCAATCACAGCAGCAGATCATTCCCCCCCATCACAACAATACACCCATAACAAAAAACACCCT